TCAGTACCCATTTTTCATTTACACCCTTGCTTTCTGTCACACATGTATATTGAACACCTATAGACTGATCTTCATCTGTAATGATTGCACCTGATTTACCATGCCATATTTTGAAGCCACTTTTCCTGTATGAACATTTTCTTGCACTCAGCAAGCTTGACAATAGATTCTGTCAAATGAAGATGTTATGCAATCTTAGTTGAACTTATAAATTTACTTCAGATATTTTACTAGCAAGGCAGTGAACATGGAAGAATCTTGGCAGAGTGTTATGATTGATTCACGATGTAGAGCAGCAGAGAAAAAAATTACAGTAGCATTTGAAGGAAATTACAGCTGAACCTTGTGAAATAAAATTTTTTGAAAGTTCCCGGCTTAATTTCCTTAGACAGATGTGATAAAGGTCTCTTTCACTCTAGGACTTTTCCTCTCAAACCTCCATCACTCAAACTTTCGGAGGCCTCTTTGATGATTATTTTCTTGACCCAGGAAGAATAAGAAAGCAATATAAAAGTAACTTCATGTGCTTTGAAAGGAGGTGAAAGGCTAATTTTACTGAGGAAATCCTGCCTCAAAGTTCAGTTTCCAGTCAACTCATTGAAGAAACAATTTAAGGCCCAGATTTTCATCACTTACAGTTTCCTAAAATTCTTCCATCTTTCCCACAAAACAAATGCTTGTTCTTTTAACTTGTAAACTCTGTAGCTCAATTTTGTCTTGCTGGTCTTTGAAATTCAACTTAAGAGAGGTTTGGCTGAATTTGAACCTTGAGATAAAGCATTTTTCAAGTTTTGGTGATCATTCCATGGTTAGTTGGATTTCCTAAAGGTTACATTGATACAATAGAAGACTTCCTGGCACAGCTGAATTTTCAGTTTTGTATGCTCATGACCTGAAATGATGATCACATTAAAATATTGAATTAACTTAGGGCTATCAAGCTCACTGTATCCCCAGCAAGAATATTTGTATGATAGGTCATACTTGTGGTGTTGCAGTATTTTTTCAGTAATACTGTAGTTGTTGGTCAGATCACCAACAACTATTACCAGAAGNGTCAACTCATTGAAGAAACAATTTAAGGCCCAGATTTTCATCACTTACAGTTTCCTAAAATTCTTCCATCTTTCCCACAAAACAAATGCTTGTTCTTTTAACTTGTAAACTCTGTTGCTCAATTTTGTCTTGCTGGTCTTTGAAATTCAACTTAAGAGAGGTTTGGCTGAATTTGAACCTTGAGATAAAGCATTTTTCAAGTTTTGGTGATCATTCCATGGTTAGTTGGATTTCCTAAAGGTTACATTGATACAATAGAAGACTTCCTGGCACAGCTGAATTTTCAGTTTTGTATGCTCATGACCTGAAATGATGATCACATTAAAATATTGAATTAACTTAGGGCTATCAAGCTCACTGTATCCCCAGCAAGAATATTTGTATGATAGGTCATACTTGTGGTGTTGCAGTATTTTTTCAGTAATACTGTAGTTGTTGGTCAGATGACCAACAACTATTACCAGAAGGTTCAAGCTCATGATTGTAAAGGAAGATCAACCATTCATAATTTCTTTATTGCAGAGACAATCCTATTAGTAAAATGTTGCAAAGGAGAATAAATCATGAAATTACCTTATCTTGCTAGAGTTTCCTTTTTCTGTTGAGGTATACAAAGCTCAATGCATAAGCAATGATATGTACTATGGGTATCATCTGAATTTTTAAAAGCACTTTAGTTATTAATAATACTGTATATATTCATATTTTTGGTTTTTTAATATGAAGAGATTGAGTTTACATTGATCACTTCATTCACTGGTAACAAACAAGCTTCATTTTTATTGCTAATAAAGTATAAAACAATTATGTCCTGAAACTCCTGATCAGAAAGTAGTGCATTGAAAGTGTCAAATCAAAGTGCCTGACATTAATTCTAACTTGGAAATGAATTCTAGCTTCCTTAATTACACTTGCACTGCAGATCATATACTTCTGTTCAATTTTTGGCAGGTGCCTTTTATCCAGTCCCACATACTTCATGGCAAACGTTGTTCAACCATGATCAAAATATTTCTGCAACTGTTCTCAAAAAGGCTGAGCAGAGTTATTTGCTGCATTACTGGAATAAAATGTCTGTGGACAAACCCATTCAAGTGGGTACCCCTCAAGCTCTTGGTGTGCTTGCTGCCAAACATTGTCCATTAGTCTCTGCTTCAATAGCCAATGGGGAGCTGTGGGGACTCAACATGAATTCCATCAACAAAAACTGACTTTGTTTTCATTCCTGATGTTTCCTTCTTGTTTTTGTGTGCATTGAATCAGTGTTTGAGAGTTTGAAATTGTATGAAATTGAACTTGTCATCCAAATGTCCTAAGGCAAAAAATTCCTCTGCCTTGCAGAACTGAAGAACTGCTGGAAGCCAAAAAACTGGCAAATCAGATGTAAACTGCAAGAAGTAACTGTGTATAGATTTTATTCAAAGGATTGATCCAGTGGAGCCCAGCGTCAGAACATGGTTCCAAGTTGAAATTTTGAACTCCAAAAACAATCCAAAATTGATCCTTTTTTATTTACAACTGTTTCTATTTGCCACCTTTCCTAGAAGTAGTGAGGCTACTTCTAGAGTCTCACTTTTCTTCAACCTTCTTTGTGGCTTCTACTCTGTGTTTTCAGTGTTTTTGTTTGATTTCCTTTGGAATTCATGTTAAGAGGGTTGTTTCTCCTTTCAAGTTCCCGGCTGGTGGAACATGATTTGTTGCATTGTGTTGTGAATAAAGTAGTGCAAACTAAAATCACTGACTAGCTTATTCAAGTCATGCAATGGTTGTGAAGAGCTTCCATTTTTTTATGCACAAGCCATATCTCTGAATATTGATTCACTTAATTTTTGTTGCAACAAATTTTCTACTATGAGTCATTGAAATTATATTTTGCTGTACAGTATAATACAAATTTTTGAGCCTCATGTTTTAAAGCAATTAATTTCTTATAATGCTTTCATGGAAAACTGTGCACTTCTGTGCAACCACAGACAATTTTTTCTAGGCTTGGAAATTTGTCTCTTTTATGTATCAAGTACATGTCGCCATAATGATGAGAAGAAGGACTATAAGCCCTTGTTCATGTTGCTCAGAAAATCTAGAAAGGTTCTACCGAATTCAAATGATGCAAAATACTGCAAACGTGTGCAACAATTCTCAAATCTTATAAAAATAATATATTGAGACTACATGAGCATTGATGAAAATTCTGAAGATGAATGCACAATGGAAGGAGGTCTCTTGAGTTAAAATCTGCTTGGCTTGTTACACATAATTCCAGACAGTGACAATTGGGTTGTTACTGAATTGTTATCAATCACATGTACGGCTGTTATTTCATCACTGGTATTTACAGGTTCCCTTGCAGGACCTAAGCAGGGAAAATACTCAAAGAAGACCTTTTTCTCCCAATTATGAACCACACAGCAAACAGTCTGTAACAGGAGACATTTCCATGCTGTGATACTCAGTATGGCCTTCATGACAATTCCTGAAGTGATGAAGTGAAGCATGCAGTCGTATATAAGCATTATACACTGTTGCATAAGAAAAATCACCCATAATTGCATTCATTGTTGTTCAAAGGGATTTTGAACTTGATTTCAGCATGCTCGTTTTTTTCTAGGCGAGGGCGACATCTGTATCACGATTTTATCACCGCTTCTTTGAGTATCCGTGCTTTTGTGTATAGGTGCCGCTCCCATCCCGTTTCCACCGCGCCAACTTCAGTGTTTCTTCGTCTTATAGTCTAATTTTCTCGCATACGATCTCGTCTGTTGTACGTTAATTATGTTGTATGTGAGCTAATGTGATATTTCCGTACAAAATCGATTTCGTACGTATGACAGTGCAATAGTTGGATTTTGTGTTGACCCGGAAGTTGACCCATGGGATAGTGAGGCCTACTCTCATGTTGCATTTCGTACGCCTTCTACAAAGATTCTGGCAAGATTTCGTACAGTTACGCAATCCACAGTACAGATGACGTCCGTGAGTCCCTTAAGTGAGGTACAGTACTGTACAGTAATGTACGTGGGTATTCACGAACGGCCAATTGTTATTTCAACTACTGCGCTGAAGTCAAATCCTCAAGTCCTTCCAATTTCTTTTTTACATAATATTTTACCGTACCTCGTTTTCTTGCGGATTCCGGACTCAATTTTGTTTTCATTGTCATGATGCCCAACTGCTATGCTGGAAAAGTACTGTATATCAGGAAGGTTTCTCAGAAAACCTGTCCTGCTCTCAGAAAAGGGGGACTGAGGAAGCAAAGGGTGTGAATTATGTTTCCTATTCAAAGAAAAAGAACATGTTGTCATCAAAAATTACAGTGAGACCCCCACATCCGGACACCTCAACCTGCAGACAATTAAACATGGGGACACTCATTTTCCCATAAAAAATTAATTAAAAAGGCCCATCATGCAGAGACTGACTTGACATATGGACAATTGTGTGATGGAATTGCTAAGAAGTTACAGGCCAAATTACAAGAAATGAATTTTTCAAGCTATAAAACTGATGTAAAAAAAAGTTCTTTGGCATTTCTCTCATCAATTTACCATCCATTTAGATCATTTAAAAAAATTACTTCCAGCATAGAGGAATTATTAATTCTTCTCTCTTTTTCACTTGAATGTTATCTTAACACAGAATGACAACATTTCTATGCACTATATAGAGGTGTCTGCATTTAAGGCTCCAAATGTCCATATTGTGTTGAAAGATATTGATTGGATCAGTTTCAATTGGGATAAAAAAAATTTAATGGAATTAAAAATTCTGTGCTTGGTTCCCTCTAGACTAATAGATGCCCTAGCCATTATATTTCACAATCCTGTTGATGACCAGAATCCCTTTCTCAACCATGCTAATGTTTCTTTCTCTTCAGCAAACAAAGTATGACACTATCCCAATACAAATTGGTTGCCCAGCACATTTCTTGACATTGGCTAACCAAAGTTATAAATACAGGGGCATTTTATGTTCAAGTAAGCATAACACGTACTCTGACACCAAACAAATACCTTGTTGTTGCTGGTTTCCTCTGCAATATTGTTTGCACAAATATTGTGTGGATTTTGATAATAAACTAAAACTCATGGAGTTAACTTTTGTTTTTCCTTCTGAAGTTTCAGAAAACAATTTAAATCTCTGATCCTTGTTTATTTGGCAAGCAATTAAATTAGCAACCATAATTGATCACTATACAGTCTTTTTATTCTGCTTACCGATTTAAGATAACAAATAAAATACCATATGGTAGAGTATCAAGTATAGAGACTCAAGAGCTGTCTTGAAATCTTTGTATTCTTGTAGATATAATTGAAGTCTGATGACATTGTGTATTTTTACTTGCATAGAAAATGAGTGACATTTTTTAAACTAATAAGTCATGACTGCAAAGGGTGGATTTGATACTGTCACAATTTTCTAAATTTTTGACAATAAGTTTCAACCGAAACGAGTTTTGTGCTTTGATGGTGGAAAAAAAAGCTTCGTCGTCTGCAGAGTTTACTTTCTTTTCTCGACTTTCAAGCGTACTTTTCTTTTTAAGAAGAGAAGATAAAGAAGCTGACGTGAATCGAATGCAGTGGAACACTTCAGGCTAATCAGTCTTTCTTTGTTATCGCCGTAGCCTGGAAAACTTTTGGAACGTATGACTGAAAGCTCAAATGTAATCCTTCAGCTTCGATTCTAGAATACTTGAAAGTGCAACGAAAAAGCTCCTGTTGATTGTGAACTTTCTTCTGGGGCCTTTTTAACGGATTTTTCAATCTTTCCATGTTCCAATTTTTGAATTTTAGATACCCGTTTCTTTTTCTTAATGAAACGCGGATATCTTTCTCTCTTTTTTCCCAATCCGTTGCGCGATTCATGTGTAGAATATAATCAAGTTTTAGCATGTTTTTAGTTCTTTTATTTATTATGGTAATTCAAATTATGTTAATTGTGTTTCTGCCCTCTGATATTTTCGTCAAGGGGTTTTTTTCAGGGACAAATTTTCGCAAAAATAACTCATGAGATATTCACAATATGCCTGATTTGGTTTGTTTCATTCCTCAAAATATTCCAATAAACAGCAAAACCTTGGCATTCGAAAATCGATGCCGCGGGGCATTTCATAATTTTTTATTTCTTTGATGATTTCACGACTTCAATAATTTGAAATTTAAAGGGTATATTCTTGATCAGTTTTTTGAATGAAGATTTAAATCTTGGCGGTATTTTTATGCCAATAAATTTCTGGGTTCACTGTTCATGGGAAATTTGAAGATATATTTTTTCATCTGTGCTTCGTTGAATGTACGAAATCGAGGGGCCCCGAGATGCGGACATAATTTGTTCTCTCACATTGTCCATTTGTTGAATTGCCTGCAATGTTGGATCAAGTTTTCCGAGGGATATTTGAAATGAGCATTATTTTTAATTACTTCACTGCTTGGAAGAATGAAGCAAAAAATTAGCCTACTTTTTAACATGATTTAAATTGAATTTATACTGAAAACTGTTTCCCATTTTTCTTCATCGCTTATTTTTTTCTTAGAGATACTCTATCAACAATTTAAGGACGTGGTCCGATGTCGAGGCAGATTCTTCGAATTTTTCGTGTCCTTAATTCGAATCGTCCACATGTCATAGTCCTCACGGTATTTTTTTTCTACAACATTAACATAAACAATTGCAATGATGATTATGTCGGTTACGATCATCAGTTTGAACAAGATTTCAGTGAAGAATAAAAATCTTCAGAAAGCATCAGTTATGTATTTAAAATTTCGCCCTGCCTTTTTTTTCGTAGTCTTGCAATGCTTTCTCAGGAAAACTGACGTAAACTTGAAACAAATTGCTCAAATTTTCGTATAAGGAAGATCAAGGGTTTAATAAAGTTCACTGAACATTTTATTTATACAGTATATTTTTACTGGAAAAAAGTCTTTCATTTCAGGAGCGCCGTGTTTGGAATGCAAAGAAAGTTGCAAAGAAGGCAATAAAAATAAGACGCGGATTTAGGAAGATATCATGAATCCTTTTTGTGTGATAATCAGTATTCAAAAGAATTATTCCAAGTCCACGGTTTTCTCTTCTGTGATCAGTGTGATCGTGGTCGGAATTTTAATTAGAAAACGGAAAAATGTGCTGGAATATCGTCAATCACTGAATGATGAGGTGCAACAGACATTGAAAACCATTGATGCCTCCAACATCCCAGAAAATGCGATTTATTTCCTGGAAACATCAGGATTGCCCATGTTGAGTCCCAAACAGCTCTGTGCAGTTGAGTCTGCAGCTCTACATCACCCGAACAGACCCGTGGTAGTGGCAGTAAAGAATGAGTTCTTGCAGCTGCCCATAGTTTTGAAATCCTGGTCTGAAAGGTACCCAAATGTCATGTTCATCAATTTGGACATTGTCCAATGGCTGAATGGGACCATTCTTCTGCCATGGCTTTCCAAAAACTTACTTGACAAGAGTCCATTTAAAACTGCCCAATCCAGTAATGCCCTGAGGTATGCCACCCTGTTCAAGTATGGTGGATTATACTTGGACACTGATGTGATTGTCATGAGGCCAATGGATGACCTGGTGAATGCTGTGGGACTTTATGCAACCAATGGCATTAATAATGCTGTAATGGCATTTGAGAAGCACCATCCCTATATAGAAGCTTGTTTGAAAGATGTGTCTGCAAAGTGAGTTCCAAAATTTTTATTACCAATACTGTAGTTCATTGATAGGTCTCCAACTAGAATGGACACACAAGACCTGATATTACAGAAATCCTTGATGGAACTTCTGTAATTACTACCTTCCTTCTTCATCATTGGTCCTATCTTGAAATTTCAGAAACTCAGTCCTTTGAATTATTAAAAAAGTATACCTGATTGCCAGACCATGAAGAAGAACAGGCTAGATTCTAGTCTGAGCTGAAATCAAGAACCTGGATTTTGTATTCTTCAATTTGCTCATTGCTGGTCATTTTGTCAAACTTGTGTAAGAAATAAGTTAACTGTGTCCTGAGTAAGCATCAACATTTGATCTGAATCAACTCTTTTCATCCAAGAAATGCAAACAAATTTTCAACTTTACTTCTGAAGTTTCCCTTGAACAAGCAGGAGTATAGGTTCCCAAAGAAATTGAAAGAATAATGATTAATCTTGACAGTACAGCATTCTTGTTTTCTCCTCTTATTCTCCAGGTTTAATCCCAAGAAATGGGGATCCAATGGACCAGACTTGTTGACAAGGGTGATCAACACCTTCTGCAACTTCAATAAAACCAATTTACTGAAACCTGGTTACTGCAAGGGCATCAGAATATTGGACATCAGTGACTTGAAGATACAGTATCTTGCTTCTATAACAAGACAGACCATCAAAAAATAAGTCAGTAAATACAGGCACAGAATGTATCATTGCTTTTGAGAATAATGTTTGCAATTCAGTATCAATTTTTCATTTACGAGCTTGGTTTCTGTCACACACTTGGATAAAACACCTTGTGAATGATGCGTCCCTCAATTTTGAAGTGGATTACATAACACCTCAAAGAAAGTTTTTGAGGTCAAAGAACTTGGCTCATCAGTATGGAATAAGGAATTCATCTCAATTTTGAACAAAAAGTGAAGGTTGAACACCAGATGCATACTCATGCACAGGAATTCCAGGCAGTAGACAATAGCACCAATAGGTAGAGGGCCAGGGGGGCAGAGAGGCTGTGGATGACTGGCCCAAGATTTTGCACAAGCCACAGCAGAGTTGAAGGAGATGGTAGTGGCAAGTAAGTGTGGAAGAGGTGAAGGGTTGGAGAGCCAGAGCCAGGCCAAAGGCGGATCAGGCTGGAGACCATGAGTGGCAAGGGGGGATGTACCTGTGGAAGAAAGATGGGCAGCAATGTAGTGGCGGATGATGTTTTGGAGGTGATTTTTCCAGTGGTGAGAGCCATTGGCAGCTGTAGCAGCCTGCAGAGCATCCTTAATGGTACAAATGACATGTTCCACCATGCCATTGCTTTGAGCCCTGTATGGAGCTGTGGAGGAGAGGGAGGCACCAACTGATGTAAGGAATGTGTGGAGGGAGCGGCTTTGAAATGGTTTGGCATTTTCAGCAATGATTGTCCAGGGCATGGTGTTCCAAGTGCGGGCAGGGCAGCAGAGAGCACAAATAACAGCGGGTGCAGAAGTTGTGCAGGTGACAGAGAGAAAAACACAGCGTGAGTGGACATCCACTGCAAGGAAACAGTACTGAGCAGCAGAAGAGGAATCAGGAGAGGAAAGTGGGCCAAGGAAGTTGATAGCAACAGTGTGACCAACAATGCCAGGATTGGAGAATTATCCCATGGGTTGTTTCACTGGGCTAGGTGTTTTAGAAATGGCACAGTGGTGGCAGGACTGGACAAAGTGGGCTGCATCAGTAGCAAATGTGGACCAGGAGCCATGGAGGCTGATGAGGCTGAAAAGGCGGTTGGCATCAAGGTGTGTAGTGCCATGGATGTCTTGGAGGGCAGCTTGGCAGAGGTATGTAGGTATGAAAGGTCACTGGCCATGACACCAGAGACCATCACAGAGTTCAAGTGGCAGACAACAAATGGATGGGTTGAGTTCCTGTACAGCATGCCAGCTGTGTTTGTGAGCAGCAGTTGGTGCACTGGGTTGGTTCGCAATGGCCTCCACAGGTACCCAAGATAGGGCATCAGCAACAACATTGTTGGTGCCAGGAGTATGCACAATTTGGACAAGACCAGGATACCATTGTAGTTTGAGTTGCCAATGTGCAAGATGTCCCCAGACAGCATCAGTAGCAAAAAGCCAATGGAGCGGAGCATGATCTGTGGCAATGGTAAAGGATGCAGTGTAGAGATAGTGGTCCCACTTGCAAAGAGCCCACATAAAGGCAGTGGCTTTGCAATCTATAACAGAGCGTTTACGTTCAACAGGAGACAGCCGGCGGCTAGCAAAGGCTACAGAGTGGAGTGTGCCATCTGGACCAACTTGTTGCAGGTGAGCACCCAGGCCAACATCCAAGGCATCAGCAGAGAGGATGTATGGAGCAGCTGGATCTGGCGTGCAAAGGACTGTACCATAAAGGTTGCACAGAGTTTTGAATGCTGTCTGGTGGGCAGTTTCCCAGGTGAATGGGAGTGGCAGCTTCCTCCCCTGTGCAGAGCGCAGATGGGACTTGAGAGTGAACAGGGGTTCAGCAAGTGTAGCCAGGTTGGGAATAAAAGCATTGAAGTAGGCCAGGAAGCCCATCAGGAACCATTCAAGTGCAGGAAGAGTTGATGGTGGAGGGTAGTTTTGGATGGCGTTAACATTAGCTTCAGTGATGGAGACTCCAAACGGGTCCACACAGTGGGCTAAGAAGATAGGGTCAGGGCCATTAAAGCTGCACTTTGCCTTGGAGAGATGGACCCCATGATTGCTTAAGTGTTGGAGGACTGTTTCAACAGCAACAAGGTGGTCAGAGGCTGTCCTGGAAAATATGAGGCGTCATCAATGTAGCAAACAACATTGGGAATCCCCCAAAGAATGGCGTCCATCTTGCATTGAAAGGTGGCTGCAGAATTGCAAAGGCCAAAGGGCATCCAGAGAAACTTGTAGTGGGGACCAAGTGCGGGAAAAGCAGTCTTGCTAGTATTTGCAGCAGCCATGGGTATGTGCCAATACCCAAAGGTCAAGGCTGGTGAAGAACTTTGCCCCATGAAGGCAAACTTGCAGCTTAGAGACATTAGGCATGGGGTAGGGGTCTGGACTCTGGAGTGGTGACCTTGTTGAGGGCACAGAAGTCAGTACAGAAGCAATTTTCTCCATTTTTCTTATGGATGATCACAATAGGTGCAGACCATGGGCTTTGAGATGGCTGGATCACTCCCAGGCAGAGCATTTCATCCAGTTCCTGCTGGACAGTGGCATTGGTGGCCAGAGGCGTGCAATATGATTTGACTGCAATAGGGCATTGACCAAGAGGTACCTCAATGGTTTGTGGTATAGCCTGAATCATGCCGGGCGTGTCATGAAATAGTTTGTTGTATTTTTCAAGGAGTTGCGCAATGGCGTCATCCATGGAGGCAGAGGCATCCAGGACAAGGACCTGTTGGATGTTGTGGGAAGAAGGCAGTTGGCCAGTGCGTTGTGGGCAGAAACTGCAAGGTGGCCTGGGCTGCATGTAGAAAGGGGCAACCCAGGATAACCTGCTGGTGGATATCAGGGGAGACAGAAAACCACTGGGAGATGGGTGCCCTGGAGCTGCTGGATAAGGTGAGAAGGACTTTCCTGTCAGCCCATAGAGCAGGGCCTTTGTAGCTGGCAGTTGTTGCATCAGGAGTTGCAAGCAGCTGGGAATGAGGTGGCACTGCTGCACTGTTGATGATGTTGACCCTGCTCCAGAATCAATAAGGGCATTGAATGTTTGGCCAGAAATTTTGATGGGTAAACAGCTGTGAGGACAGATTGTGGATTGGCCACCAAATGTTCCCAACACATTGGTGGCCATTATTTGTTTCTCTGGGGAGTGTAGCTGTAGTCAGCACACTCCCCAGCAGCATTGACCCCATTGGCTGAAGGGCAGGCTGGAAGAGATGTGCGTGGAGGACGTGGGAAGCCCTGTGCATAGCATGTTTGATTGGAATGCCAGGACCTGGGGTGAAGTGAGCACATTCCTGCAGGCTGTGGGTGTGGTGGAGGTCGTTTTGTGGGGGCAGCATTTGTTACAGGAGGGGCAACAGCAGAGTGGCTGACAGAGTGGCTGACAGAGTGGCTGACAGAGCACATGGACTCAGCCTCAGAACAGATGGAGCAGTAGGTGTAGTTTGGGTGGTTGAACTCCCACTGGGCTGCCTGTGCGGCAGGAGAAGGGAGGATGCTGATGAGTTGGGACACCAGACAGGGGAGGAGAAATTGTGGGCACTGCTGGAATTCAGCAGGCGTGGCGCAAATAAACTTGAGGAAGGCTAAGTGTAGACAGGTGCCAAGAGAATTGTAGTTCTCCAAAGGATTAGGGAAGAGGTTGATGAAAGTGTCACAGAGAGCGCACTGTTGTGGGCCAAACTGGGCTTCAAGCATTTTGCAAAAGGAAGCCCAGTTGGCCAGTTGGCAGGCATGGATGTGGTGGATGGCCTCAGCTGTTGGGGCTGAGGCTGCATCATTGAGGAGGACCATGCTCTTTTGGAGGCATGGCCTGTGGAGATCAAAGAGTACCTTGGCACAGTGGAGGAAGTCCATGGGGAATTGGGTGACAAGTCCTCAGGGGCCTGTTGGTGTATGCGGAGTGTGTGAGGTTGAGGGCAGGTCTCCAGATTGCGTGTGTTGACCATGGCTGAAGACTGTATGTGGTTAGCTTCCAGCAGCCAGGTCAGTTTCCTGGCCCAAGAGAGGGCAGCCAAATCTGGATGTTGCAGGCCAGAATGGAGGAAGGTGGCAATGGAGGCATCCTGGAGTCCCAGGTGAGGGGTGGGATGTTCCCAGGGGCAGGGTTGGACCTGAGACGGTCAGCCACCGGTCGGTCAATTCACAGTTGCGCATCTGCTGGTCGTCAAGCGCCGGTCGGTCCAACCGCCAGCCAGGGCAGTTCTTGGCCACACCAATCCCCAGCCCACCGAACTGCGGTTTGGTCACCCATTTGTTGGGGCACCTGAACCATTGGGTGACAAGAATCATGCTGATTTTTCTTCAGAATTCAGTGAGCAGAACCGTATCCTACCACAGATTTTTTTTTCAAAATTTCAGCAATTTTAGGTTAGGTTAGGTCTGTTTATGTTATGTTATGTTAGTTTAGGTTAGGTTAGGTTAGGTTAGGTTAGGTTAGGTTAGGATATGTTAAGTTAGGTTAGGATATGTTAGGTTAGGTTAGGATACGTTAGGTTAAGTTAGGTTGGGTTTGATGAGTTTTTTCTTTTTGTGAAAATTTTTATAAGATAAAATTTTGTAAAAAAAATAATAATCTGTGGTAGGATACCATTCTGCTCACCAAATTCTAGAATAATTCTAGAAAGAATCAGCATGATTCTTGTCACCCAATTGTTTGGGTGCCCCAACAATTGGGTGACCGGACCGCGGTTTGGTGGACTGGGGATTGGCAAGGCCAAGAACTGCCCTGGCTGGCAGTTAGACTGACTGGCACTTGACGACTGGCGGGTGCACAACCGTGATTTGAACAACTGGCGGATGACCTGGTACCGGACCTGAGTAATGTTTTGGAGCCAGTTACTTGAAAGATAACCACTCCCTCCACACATTCCTTGCATTGGTTGGTGCCTCCCTCTCCTCCACAGCTCCATACAGGGCTCAAAGCAATGGCATGGTGGAACGTGTCATTTGCACCATCAAGGATGCTCTGCGGGCTGCTACAGTAGCCAACGGCTCTCACTACTGGAAACATCACCTCCAAAACATCATCCACCACTACAATGCTGCCCGTCATTCTTCCACAGGTACATCCCACCGCTGCCACCAGTAAAGTGGATTATAAATTCATTGTACTCCTTTTTGGGTTCAGAGTAAGCTAACTCATCTCACTACAGAAGATCATGAGGTTAACCAGAATAATTGACCTTCACTGGTCTTTGAAGGAACCTTTAAGAGGTTCCCCTACACTGCACTTGAGTCATTACTTTATCTTGCTAATGCTTCCCATTCCTTTGAAGTACAAATATCATTCCAAAAGCCAACAATCATATTATTGGTATCATCTGAATATTTAAAAATGCTTGCTTTTTTATATGAAGAGCCTGAGTTTCACGTTATCACTGCATTCACTGGTAACAAATGAACTTTCTTTTTTACTGCTACTAAAGTAAAAGAAAATAATGTCCTGATCAGATTTAATCATTGAAAATCTCAAATTGTAAGCACATGACAATCATTCTAGCTTGGAAATGAAAATCATCAATTTCACTTCCACTGCATAGCAAATGCTTCTGTTTGATGTTTTGACAGGTGCATTTTATCCAGTCCCATATACTTCATGGCAATGGTTGTTCAATCATTCTCAAAATATAATTCTCAAAATATAATCATTCTCAAAATATATCATTCTCAAAATATATTCTCAATATATATATTTTGACAGGTGCATTTTATCCAGTACCATATACTTCATGGCAACGGTTGTTCAATCATTCTCAAAATATTTCTGCAAGAATTCTCAAGAAGGCTGACCAGAGTTATTTGATGCATTACTGGAATAAACTGTCTGTGGATGAACCTATCCAAGTGGGTACCCCTCAAGCTCTTGGTCTGCTTGCTGCCAAACATTGTCCTATAGTCTCTGCTTCCATAGCCAATGGGGAGCTGTGGGGGATCAACATGAAATACATCAACAAAAACTGACTTTGTTTCCATTCCTGATATTTCCTTCTTTTCTTTTTTGTTGTTTGAATCAGTGTTTAAGGGCTTGAAATTGTATGGTATTGAACTTGTTATCCAAATTTCCTGGCAAGAAATTCCTGAGTTCCAGAACTGAAGAACTGGAAGTCAAAAAAATGTGCAAGCCGGATTTAAATTGCAAGAAGTAAATGCTTACAGATTTTTTCAAAGGATTAATCCAATGGAACTCAGCATCAGCATATGGTTCCAAGGTGACATTTTCAACTACAAGAACAATGCAACATTGATTCGTTTTTCACCACATTGCTCCTATTGGCCACCTTTTTTTTTAAACTCCCCATGCCTCATTTTTCTTCAACATTCTTTGTGGCTACTACTCTGCGTTTTAGGTTTTTGTGTTATCCTTTTAAATTCCTGTTCAAAAGCTTGTTTTTCATTTCAATGTCCTGGCTGGTGGAACATGATTTGTTGTATTGTGTTGTGAAGAAAACAGTGCAGACTAGAATCAAAGTCTACCTTATTCAAGTCATACAATGCTTGTAAAGAGCTTCAATTGTTTTCAATGCATATATAAGCAATACAGTATCTCTAGATATTGATTTAGTTAACTTTTGTTGCAACAAATGTTATTCTACAAGTCATTGAAATCATATTCCACTGTAAAATACATGTTGTTCAGTGTCATGAATTAAAGTAATTAATTTTAAAGTAATTAAAGTAAGTAAGTAATTAATTAAAGTAATTAATTAAGTGCACTTCTGTTTAATCACAGACCATTTTTTCTTTATGTTCAAATTTAGAAACTTGTGTGCTGATTGTTTCAAGTACATGTCGACATAATGATGAGAAGAAGGACTATACCCAATATCATTAATAGTTCATGTTGCTTAGAAAATCTAGAAAGGTTCTACCAAATTCAAATGATACAAAATAATGCAAACTTGGGCAACAATTCTCAAATCTTACTAAAAAATATATATATCAAGACTGCATAATTAAGCTTTGATAAATATTCTGAAGATGAATGCACAATGAAAGGAAATCTCTTGAGTTCAAATCTGCTTGGCTTGCTACACATAATTCCGAACAGTTACAATAGGGTTGTTACTAAATTGTATCATTTACATGTATGGGTGGTATTACATCACTATTACTGTATTTATAGGTTCATTTGCAGGACCTGAGCAGGGAAAAATACTAATAGAAGACCCATTTCTCCCAATTATAAACCACACAGCAAACAGTCTGTAACAGGAGACATTTCCAGGCTGTGATACTCAGTGGCCCTCATGAAAATACATGTGGCCCTCAATCATAACAATTAGCATACAAAGTCTTGATGAGTATCATATACAACCCATGATTGTTGCTGAAGTGATGAAGTGAAGCATGCATTGGTATAATCAAAATACACTGCTGCACAAGAAAAATCACCAAAATTGCATTCCTTGTTGTTTGAAGGAGTTTCGAGCTTGATAACGGGAACTGACAAGATCCCTACCGGGGTGATGCCTACGCCGCGCATCGCGTGTCTTTCCTTGGTTGGACATTCCAGTACGTATAGGTTAGGTTAGATTAGGTGAGGTTAAATTCAGTTAGGTTAGGTTAAGTTATGTTGAACTATTTTAGGTTAGGTTAAGTTAGGTTAGGTTCAGTTAGGTTAGGTTCAGTTAGGTTAGGTTCAGTTAGGTTAGGTCAAGTTTGGTTAGGTTAGGTTAGGTTAAGTTAGGTCAAGTTAGGTTAGGTTAGGTTAGGTTAGGTTAGGTTAGGTTAGGTTAAGTTAGGTTATTTTAGGTTAGGTTAGGTTAGGATAGGTTAGGTCAGGTGGGCTGTAAACCTTTTTCATCATTTGTACAGGGGAATGTCCATCCAAGGAAAGACAGGCGATGCGCGGCGTCGGCATCTCCCCAGTCGGGAATATGTACGTGCCCCTTGATAACAGCATGCTTGTTTTTCTAGGCGACAGCGACATCTGTATCACAATTTTATCACCGCTTCATTGAGTAATAATGCGTTTTTGTATAGGTGCCGCTCCCATCCCGTTTCCATTGCGTCAACTCCGGAGTGATTCATTTTCTTTCGGTCTCTATTTTCACATATTGTACTTCGTCTGCTGTACATTGCTTTTGTTGTATGGGAGCGAATATGACCTTCCCGTAAAAAATCGGTTTCGTACGTATGACAGAACAATAGTTTGATTTAGTGTTGACCTGGCAGTTGACCCACGGAAGTGTGAGGAGGAGGGCCTACAACACTCTAATGTTGCATTTCATGCGACATCCACAAAGATTTTGGTAACATTATGAACAGATACACAATTCTCATCATACAGGACGTCGGTGAGTCCGTCAAGTGAGGTACTGTACACTAATGTACGTTGGTAATCATGAATGGCCAATTGTTATTTCAACTACTGTGCTCAAGTATCGCCTCAAGTCCTTCCAGTTTATTCTTTACAACATATTTTACCTTACCTGGTTTTCTTGAGGATTCCGGACTCAATTTTGTTTTCATTGTCATGATGCCCAACTGTTATGCTGGAAAAGTACTGTACATCAGGAAGGTTTCACAAAAAACCTGTCCTGCTCTCAGAAAAGGGGGACTGAGGAAGCAAAGGGTGTAAATTATGTATCCTATTCAAAGAAAAAGAACTTGTTGTCATCAAAAATTACAGTGACACCCCCACATGTGGACACCTCAACCTGCAGACAAGTCAACATGGGGACACTCATTTTCTCTTGAGAAAATTAATTAAAAAGATCCATCATGCAGACACTAACTTGACATATGGACAATTGTGTGATGGGATTGTTAAGAAGTTTCATCAGGCCAAATTACAAGAAACAGATTTTTCAAGCTATAAAACTGATGTGAAAAAAGGTTCATTTGCTTTTCTCTCATCAATTTACCATCCATTTAGATCATTTAAAAAAATTACTTCCAGCATAGAGGAATTATTATTTCTTCTCTCTTTTTCACTTGAATTTTATCTTAACACAGAATGACAACATTTCTATGCACTGTATAGAGGTGTCTGCATTTAAGCAGGCTCCAAATGTCCATATTGTGTGGAAAGATATTGATTGGATCAGTTTCAATTGGGATACAAATTTTTTTTCATGGAATTATGATGAGTATTTTGTCCATAAAACACCAATTGAAAATTATATAATGTAAGTCTAAGAAAATATGAGTCTCTACTTAGGGACATTTTGACCAACAGACACACTTGATGCACCATTTATGTCTGTATCTTGGGGTGTCATTGTATTTAGCCAGTCCTTCTTGCTGGCAGACAAGGCAGTCAAAGGAGTCATGTGCTTTGCCATTTTCTCATTCCTGATGAAGTGCTGTGCCAAGTCAGGTGTTGCCAAGTTATGCAACTATTCCTGAAATGACTGGGATCTGACTAGTCTTTGCCCAATCTTGGACCAAAAAATCTATAAAGCCACCTGCCTTGTGCTTGAAACTTATTTCATCATTCTAAAAATGGTGACAGAATGTAATTCACCCAGTGCAGTCATGACTTCCTAGATTTAGAGAATGACACTTATTTTGTATGCAAATAAAAATTTACATTGTTATCAGACAGCAGGTGCTCATTGCTTCTGTTTGTTCATTGAAAAAAGTCAAGTTATGCTGTTATTTTATCCCTGTTGAATAAAAGACATGTTACACTTATATTCTTTTATAGGAACTGCTGAAGAGTATTCACTTGATGTAAACCCAGCAATAAGGAATAAAAATCTCCTCATCAGTTAAAGTTGTCTAACCTATATCATCAATTT